ATTGTAGCCATGTATCCTTATATCGCTATACAGTAGGTAAACAAATAAAATAAATAAACAAGGTCTGGAGAATGTTGTGCGCCTACATGAACGCACTTCAGATAAGAGCCAGTCAATCGACACCTGAAAAACAATTAATGTATTAGTCCGAGCAAACCGGAACCGTAAATGTTACGCCTTTGCTGCCAATTTCAAGGATTGTGAATGACTATCCGAGTGCTTGCTTTGTACCATTGTCCTCGCTTTCATCACGTTGATCCTCATCATGTCATTGATTTCATCACAACGCACTGCATCGAAAACACCGGCGAGGAGCGCTAAGTCTCTCATGAACTAATAGTTATACTGTAACGTTAACCCAGGAGGATCGGCTGCGAAACCGCAGATCGGTATCACATAAAAGACACTAACATAATATCTGATACTTGATCTAGAAAATTTTTATCGATTTGATCTCCTGTTTGCCAGGCTCTATCAACTCTATCAAAACTATTTGCGTTCTGGAGGTTCTCAGTATTTGTAGTTTCAAGTTTGCCGTTTCGAACTCAGATTTGTGGCTGCATAATTATGTTACTCCCAGCAGCTGTAGCATTGAATGTCATGGCTTGGGTTAACAATAAAAATCAAAATATGGTTTACGGAACTATTCTTCGCCTAAAGGATATTCACGACACTTTGTATTAGGGTGCTCATACACTCAACCCTGGCCTCATTTCAAGTGGAAGAATCTACAAGGAGTTTCAGGGGCCTTTTGTAGGCATGAAAATTTATATCATACAGTAGCGGTCAAAAGTGTTCGCCGAAACGATTTTTAGTGCATTATTTTTTCTCGCTTGAGCAACGCCCTCCAAAGATTGATATACTATGTTTTCTAGTGTTTTTATATCCTCAATTCTTAAAGAATCAGGATATTCAAAAGAAAAATTTTTCGAGGTCACCATAATAAAAAAAAGAGAAGCACGAAAAACCTTTCGGCGAACACTTTTGACCGCTACTGTTTATTCCGTGCATATCCATAGTGTCTCTTCATGTAAGACACTCTTTTTCTGAAGCATAAGCGAATGAAGGCATGTCAGGCTATAAGTTCGATTGAATGAGCTCTTCACTTCCTTTAGAAACCTTGAATAAGCCAGACTTGCCTTGATGAACAAAATATACTATATCGAACACCAACTGGACCATCACGTGGTTGCGCACTCCATACTTCGATCCCTGCACGACCCCGATCCTGGAATTCAAACGCATTTCGAATTTTGGAGGATTGTGGACATATTCAGATTTATCTATAGCCCTTATCATCGCACTTGTCCAATGAGCAGTGTTTATTTCATGAAGACTGGTACTGATAATTTTCCGTGAATGTGCATAAATCATCATGCGCGGCTTTCCTATATTAAAGGAATCTTCCACGGAAAAAGCTCCGCCCTCATTACCACAGAAAACGATACCTTAAAGGAATCTTCCACGGAAAGAGTGATCATTTTGTCTTGTGTGTAGGATTAGTATTATCGAAACTAACGCTTATGTTCCGTTCTTTTTGCTATGCTCATGAGGCTAGGGTGGAAGATTCCTATAATGTCTAAATGGACAGATGTTTAAAGCCTACTAATCAAACGAGATCATTATAAAGTCCAAATGAAAGCCATTAAAAATACCTTTGCAGTTCGTGCTAAAAGCTCCGTATTTTACACGTGTTGTCAAGAATCCACCTGTGTATCACCTGCGCACCTGTGCATCGAGTTGCTAAATTCTGCACAAGACCATGTAACAGGCAAAGTAGTCCAGTGACTAGCCTACGTCAAGTGACGCGAAGTGCTCACATCGTTCATTTGGATCGCCCACGAAACAATAGCTCGACCAGTCAACTGGTAGCGGTTTTCTACTCCAATTAGTCATGAGGATGTCAGCTATAGAACCCTCTTCAGAACTGGCCTGTTCAAAGGCGATGTTCTTCATTCAGTGTGTTCGGCAAACACTAATCTACATGGTCTGGCCCTCATGTTATTGAGGAAGTCGCATCCAAATGCCACCACGATTCTAAATGCAAGTAGAATGCGTGGCGCATCCCAAAACATGATAGAGCGGCGCCAAGTGCTTGATGCTTTTACGCTTTGGCTTCTCCAATTGCGTCGAAATACATTCGCGCGAGCGAAATAGTGATTGGATCCAGTGTATAACGTTAGAGCAAATATTATCAAAACATTTTGCCAAGTGGGAGACCATGACGGATCCGCATGAAAATTTCAGTCAGCGTTTCATCGCGCTGGTTTCACTCCATTACGTGAGTTTCAGCGGGAAGTTTTTCGACCCTTCTCTCAATGTTACCGTGTTTGATGTTAATTGCAATGGAGAAGGCTCAGTCGTCGTTATAGAATTTCCCATCATCGCATAGAATGCTTCCAGCAAGTTCTCGTTGAAGGAGGACTTTGGAAACAGAGAGTGAAGCCGTTGAATTTTGAGCTAGTAGCTCTATGTGCCTCATATGGGAACGCCCGACTTTGTCCGCTTTTCTTTAAAAGACCGAGTGTTCATGATCTACATAGCATGGTGGTGAGGATCCACCATTGTGCCGAAACCCTCTACTGTCGCAAGAATTTTTTTTCAAGAATTCCTTCTCTTCTCGTGAACTGCTTGTAACAAGCTGTGTCTTCTATCCTCCAGCAGTCGGTGGCGTCACAACCAAGGCCAATCGTCCATTGGTAACTCCATCGTGGAGGTATATGTGTCGTTTCTGGAGTTACTGAAGGAGGCGTTTAGTGGACTGGTTGGTTAAAGACTGAAAATGGATCGATTTGGTTCCAAGATCAAACACCATGAAAGCAGTTATGGTAGTGGATGTGATGGGACGGTGCGGTGAGGGGCGTGAAGACCTTATACCGGTTAATCGCATTTCCCAGAGGCAAGCTTCCAATGACCCTGTCCGCTACTAATCCTGTCGGCGTATATCAGATCTTGAATAGAAGCTTCTGGCAACCTCACCCTCAGACAACATCCAATTTAATGTATTCATCCTATAATTCCGGCAGTCGGCTGACTGCCGTTAGAGTTTTAGACCGCCGAAATCCCTGTATCGCAAGACTAATCTTCCTAATCTTGTCAGTATCCACAAAGCTTTGCCGCGCTTGGAAGGTTGCTCCGAGTGCCCAGCTTTGAGCACGTTGGCACTCCCACGTCCACGAGAGATCCTCTTTTGTTTATTCGACCCGGCATAATATACCTGAGTTTATCAGAATTGTATCTGTAGAAACAAGCTCAGATTTAATTTCAGTTGTTTTTCCTCTGATTTAAAAACCTGAATATCAATTGACTTGCATCTGAGATCGCTGTTTTATAGTCCTTTACGGATTTGCTATGCCGAGAGCGATTCGTCAAAGGAAGACAGGTACGTTTTGAGATACACTAATTCTTCTTGCTACGGTACCTCTTACTTTGATGTGAATTCACAATAATAGAATTATGGCCACGGTCTGAAACTCCCAACATAAATCTTCGCGCTGGAAATTTGTCTTGGCGCTATCAACAATATATGAGCATCGTCGAAGACTGGTTGTTGAGGCAAATAACTTCGGCAGATAAAATTTCTGTCTACGCATCCTGGACCCCCTTCCTCTCTGCTCTTACAAGGAAGGTCTTTCAGGGTGCCAAGCTTTTTGAAAACGGTCTTTTGCATGATATAGGGGCACATGCGGAACCACAGAACCATGGTTAATTTTTCCTGAACGGCCCTCTGAATACCAGAAAAGGGGGTCCCTAGTTCGATTCCTCGTGGTGACAAATTTTTGCATTTCGAGTTGACGTGGTTCCAAATGACGGTCCTATTATGAATATGGCATTATGTTCATGCTAACTCCATTTTGCGCGAATTTTGAAACGTCAACTCGAAATGCAAAAATTTGTCACCACGAGGAATCGAACTAGGGACCCCCTTTTTGGTATTCAGAGGGCCGTTCAGGAAAAATTGAACATGGTTCTGTGGTTCCCGCATTTCCCCTATATCATGCAAAAGGCCGTTTTTTGAAAGCTAGCACCTCCGAGGATCTCCTAGTAAGTTTAGCCCCGATTTTTTCGAAAGGCCATTTTTTACGGCATGCCCCTGTACTTGCGAATAGCTCCTTTTATCAAATCAGGGAAAGAATTGTCAGTGGCCTCGCGCCTGCCTCACTCCGGTTGTCCAAGGCTCTATCTCACCAGAACTCACGCGGCCGTAAAGCTTTCTTTCCTCCCAGAATTAGCGACTTATCTGGTGGCACAAAAGCATTTGACGTTACATATTACGCAGGCTCCCACACTTCCCTTGTTAGGCCATGTCACATCAGGTGCCACAAGAATTCTGGTAGAATTGAATCGTGCGCCATATGAAAGGATCGTAGCTTGAATGCTGTATACTTTTTCTCAAACACTTCTTCCATTGAATCTATTCATATGCCGAAATCCTCCGTCCACCAATACTTCGAGCTTATTACATCAAGTCGGAATTTAACGATGCAAAAGACACCCTCGACGAAAACTATAAACGGCATTCGAGGTGAGCCCATCCATAGCCAACAATCGATTTTGAGAGTTGTCCTGCGGCTGTTATGAATGCAAAGGTGCTCGGCTGTGGTAAAAAGTTACACTTTGAGGGCAGCTACACCATCCATAATTGATAGCAACTGAAATTCCCTTTTACCGCTTATAACTTTTAGATCAACCTGTCAAAGATGTGGGAATCAACGGTGGACGACGAGCCGCCAGTGGCGGACTTTCACCCCTGACCTGGACCAAAAATGGCCAGAACCCGATGCACCATCACCACCTGTCAAGCTTTATTATCCTCCTTATATTCAAGCGGTAGGCCCACTTCTACTCTTATCTTATATCAGAATTAGTCTGAATAAACCAAAAACCATAGCTCTGTGGCTTCTGGACAGTTGCCAAGTAAGGTCACAAATATGCGCATGTGTAAATTGTAGTTATTGACGATTTCAAACGGCTTGTCAGTTGTTAATATCATCTTTTAGCGATCACCAATACTGAGAAAGGCTTCGTGTTGGTCATCCCCAGCAAACGTGTACGTGGATGACTTCTCTGGACAAAATACACCGTTCGGTAGGGATATTTGCTTGCGATTAGCCATGCCGTTCTTCTTCCAAAGAGGCTAAAACAAATTGTTGCAGAGCAGTCATCTTGCTGGTCGGCTCCGGAATGCCTGAACGATAGCACGAGTGAAGGAGATGAAGATTATCTGGATGAAGACCATGTACCGAGATCGTGTTCGTGTCATGAGCTCGACCACGGCACTATCGAGAAGAACCCGTCCTTCCTGGACAGCTACCCAGTAATCGACTCATCACAGCAAGGTCGGCGCTTCACGTGCACTTAAGGACCAGCGCTTTCCATTATAAGTTCCGTAATTTGGTTGCAAGTGCTGTGTCGCGATTAGTTTTCGAGTAAGTGCGTGTGCTGCCGGCAAGAGCTATCCTATTCCCATAGGCGTTGGCCGTGGTCTTCTGTTTCCACTTCGCCTACTGCATCAGTTGCACAATTTCATGTTAGCCACGCCTTCTGGGGATAGTTTGCGCTGGTCAGAGAGCTGCCGGCTGGTCACTGCTTTCGGCATTCAGTTAAGGACCCATCTCGACTCATCTCTTGGGTTTTTTCCAAAGTGTTGCGACGAGAAATCCCACTTGTTTCTTTCCGGACTCTTCGCGCTGCCGCGCTCTCTCACGCTCTCGTCGCGTCCGTAGTATTTTCATTAGGTGGCGGCTGCCCTCCTATTGGAAGCGCTATTAGCGCCCCTCTGATGGATGCTGCGCTTCTCGAACAAACCCGCACTGCCGTCCTGACATGTCATCCAGTCTGGTATTCCTCTCTAAGCCAACTGCAATTGCCATCGTCGTTATTTTATCATCACCGTGCCTGATGTCTAATGCGATCGGCGCAAGGGCATGACGAAAGCCCTATTCATGGCCCTCAGCACCAAAAAAGGTGCTCTGCCGCGAAAATTCTTTGTTGGGGCTCAGAGCAGGGTAGCTAATCACTTTACATCAAATTCGGACTTCATTGCACTCGACAACTCCACTCATATCCGTTGCTGCGCAATTAATGCCATGCGCTTGAAACTAATTGTCTGGGTGCTCCGGGATCCCTAAATGGCTCGCGCTCTTCACTCTTCCGTTTCGACATTATGGATTAGTACCCCCTTCGTCATGGTGTTACGGTAAATGATCACTAATTTCAGTACCATCACTTAGCTCGATTCGCCTTCCATCCAGCACTGGCAGCATAGCTGACTCTCCATCACCTCCTAGGCCCCTTTCTCCAGTTCTAGGGAGGCCACCACTAAATTGTAAGTATTCCTATGAACTGTATGAAAGTTGTTTCGGAAGGGAATCTTCAATGTTTCCAGCAAATTCGATCTCGGGATCGCGTTCGATGCAACTTCGACCTCGACCTGAGTTATCCTCGTTCGCCGATAATTCTACCTCTGATGACGATTCGCCTCAACAGGATCCTTGGCCGCAACAGGAGGTCTGCTGCCGGCTCTTTCTCAATTCTGACATTTCCTTGATGGAAAAAACCCTTTCAGGTTTGGCCAGAAGAGGACGTGATGAGTCGTTCGCTGCGAACCGGATGGACAGCAGCTGACTCAGCTGTGGGAGTTCAACGACCTCAATCCTCCCGCACGGTAGCCGGTGATGTTCGACATGTGGGCGTCTCGGGAAGCAGGTCCATGCATAATCAACTTCAATACGTTCCGTCTCAACTTGAGAGCTCTTCCCGCCCTCGACTCGATGAGGCCGAAAGGTTGTGATGCATTTCTCATTTGTCTCAAGTGACGAAATCTCTTCAGCCTTCTCAAAAAGAGGTACTTCTCGTCGTTTCAGGCGAGACTTGATCACCCGCAGTGCGTGGATCGATCGAGGGAGCACTGTTCAACTGCAGGATCGTGCTACCGAACGACGAGTGCCAGAGGTAGCTGGGACGTCTGGATTCAGAAACGGAACTCGCTGTGAAAGTCAGTCAGACTTCCGTGCTGATCCTGAATCTGCAGATTTCATGAGGCGATCGTATACCACCGAGGAACTGAAACGAGAACGACGACGACTGCCAAAAAGGCCGGACATGCAGCCATTTCTCAGTAAGTCTGACTTCCTCCCACTTTCTCAGAACACATAATCAGAATTCTTGTGAGGTTTTGCATTATTATAATTTAAGCTAGAAAAGTACCACATTCCAAGATTAATGTCCACTTCAGGTGAGCTGCCTTCATCATTATCCCTTCACGGCCAAAACATGGACGACTTGGGCGAGCCGGGACGCCAAGACGAACTTTCCATGAGAGACGGCGAGGTACTTTACTACCCACCAGCGGCGCCACCAACAGAGCTTCGACCTTCACAGTGGGTTGGAATAAGCTTGTGATCAATTTCAGAGCAGATTCGTGTGCCCTAGGGCGGCTTAGCAGTGACGCAGTTAAGCACAGCGGCCAAATCGGCTTGGTCATTCGGAAAAAAAACCAACGCTCAGGGAAGTACTGCCATATTTTTCCCTGCTATGATTCTGTCATTAATCAGCGAACAGAGCACTTTCACTGCTCCAGTGCTTGACATACAATATTTCAAGTATATGTTCGTTTTAAACTCAAAATTCACAAGAGAATTACAGTCAGCCAGTTTGATGACTCATTTTTGGGTTCAGGTTAAACGAAATTTGAATCAAAGCAGGAAAACTGTCTTAAGAACAGTAGCCCCTCTTGCATTGCCGGGGACACAAGGGGGTCTTTCAGAGCAATCCACGCTTTTCAAAACGGTTTTTTGCATATTGTAGGGACGCATGTAGGGAACGCAAAACCATGTTTCATTTTCGCTGAACGGTTTTAGCAGTACCAAAAAAGAAGCATAAGGTACTGTTAAGGGTTCGATCCCCGTGGCGACTAAATTTTGCATTTGGGTTGGCGCCTACGGTTGGTGCCAAATCGCGCTAAATGTCAAAATCAGATGTCATATTCATCGTCAGGACCATTTTGAAGCCAACAAGTGGCCGCCAACCTTGATTGCAAAATTTAGTCGCCGCGGGGATCGAACCATCAAGAGTATCATTCACCACTTTTTTGGTACTACTAAAACCGTTCAGCGAAAACGAAACATGGTTTTGTGGTCCATACATGCGTCCCTACAATATGCAAGAAACCGTTTCAAAAAGCGCGGCTTGCCCTGAAAGACCCCTTTTTAGTTCTCCTCCTAGTTCAGGTCACCGGAGCTGCGCTATGATTGAAGTCTAAGGCTAAACATAGGCTAGGGCTTATGATTATACATTGTTGTGCTACGGCCTAGGGCTGAGCTTAGGCATGGCTTGATGTTGCTTTGAGCAAAAAAAGGGTCCTAATGTGAAGTGAGCTGACTTGACGTGGAGAGTTGATATGCACCCTGAAAGGTGAAAAAAACTGACTTTCTGTTTTTTCTACAACAACAGTAGTGAAAGCGCACAAAATAAAGTCTAAAGTCAAAAGATATTAGTAGCGCTTTAATACTTCTACTTCTGGCATTGTAATACCCCTTCTAAAAGTAGTCTGAACACTGTTGCCTCATGCGAAAAGCTTGACCGCGTCGGAACCCCATTCATCTGCCAACGTTCCTCCGGTATGGATGCTTCCTCCTCAATATTCATGTTCTGCAGTTCAGATTCAACGGAAACTTCTTCAACAAGAGGTATGCCTTGAAACAAACTCCTGGGTTTCGATAAATGGGAATCCCCAGTGAAGGGGAGACTATTGTAGCTCAAAACATGCTGAAGTTCATTACCAAAGCCAACACATAGTTTTCTTCGGTTTTTGGATCCATTTCTATCCGAGATAAGCGATACAGCAGACAGACGTCATGAAGTGGTGAAGAAGGCCCTTGTCCCTGATTACCCAGAAAATTTGTTCGTCTTTTATTTCTTATTCAAATCATTTACCCATTCTAATCATTTACCCATTTTATGTCAAGCTCGCCCCTGAATTATTTTTGACTTGGAAAAAATTGGCGTTAAGGACTTCACGGTAGCTGTAAATCACTATGAAGTCCGTTCACATCCTGAAATGACAGCGCCACTTCCGAAGCAAGCCAAATGCATGGCGTACTCCCTACTGATCGACAACGCTGCTTAGTCC